TCTTTCATTCAAGGTCAGGAACGATATTCTAATATAAAACCCAAGCATAGTACCCATAAGCACTTAATAAATGTTAGGTTGGAAAATGAAGTATTTTAATATGCTTATATATTTATATAATTGTACATATTCAATTTTACAAGTAAATGGTGGGTGGTTTTAACAACTCTTACTATAGAAAGTTTAGATGTTTAGTAAATTATAACAACATGTGCCCACTTACAACAGACTGATAAACCATTAAGATATGTAAGAATGATGGCCAGCCACAGTGGCTCATGCCTATAATCCCAGCTACTCAGGAGACTGAGGCAGAAGGATCACTTGATCCCAGGAGGTCAAGGCTGCAGTGAGCTATGGTCAAACCACTGCACTCCAGCCTTGGCAACAGAGCAGGACTCTGTCTCAAAAGAGGCCGGGCACGGTGGCTCACGCCTGTAATTCCAGCACTTTGGGAGCCCAAGGCGAGTGAATCACAAGGTCAGGAGATCAAGGCCATCCTGGCTAACACGGTGAAACCCCATCTCTACTAAAAATACACACAAAATTAGCTGGGTGTGGTGGTGGGCACCTGTAGTCCCAGCTACTCAGGAGGCTGAGGCAGGACAATGGTGTGAACCCGGGAGGTGGAACTTGCAGTGAGCCGAGATTGCGCCACTGCACTCCGTCTGGGTGACTGGCCAAGACTCCGTCTCAAAAAAAAAAAAAAAAAAGAAATGCAAGAATGGAAGAAAGAAAACCAATTATTTATCAGATTTATTCTTAGGGATGGTGTTTTTTTAAGTATCATTATATTAATAAAAATATATTTTCTAATTATTTACTACTTATACAAAAATGCGAGTGTTTTTTATATACTGATCATGTAACCAGCAACCTCACTGAACAATCTTATTGGTTCTAAACGTTTATCTGCAGATACTCCTGGGAGATTTTTATGCAGACAATTACATCATTGGTGAGTAACCAGCTGTTTCTTTCTTATCAATTCTTACAGCTTCTATTTCTTAAACTTTGTATGGCTAGGTTATCTAGTACCTCATCTTTAATACTAAATGAAAACGGTTAGAGCTGAAATGCTCAATTTATTCACAAGTTTAATGGAAAGGCTCTCGACACTGTACGATCCTGTAAGATACCTGATGTATGCTTCTATTATCCACCCATATCAGCTTAAGAACATTAATTTTATGCCTAAAGTGATGAGAACTGTTATGTATTGATTCAAATTTTATCAAATGCTTTTTCCAGAACCTCTTGCTTTTGTAGGTTTTCTCCTGGGAAATAACATTAGTAAGTTATCTAATGTTAACCATCCTTATATTACTGAGGCAAACAGCGATAAGCCCTATTTGATCAAGAAGTGGTTTTGTTTTGTTTTTTACTCATTACTACATTTGGTCTGCTAATATCTTATTGGGGACTATTATATCTAGGTATACATTCATAACTGAAGACTGGCTCCTCTCCCAAACTTGTTCTATGTTTTGGATATCAAAATTATACACGCCTTATAAAATATCATTCTCTACAATGGTTACATAAAACAGAAAACACAGTGACATTTTAGATCTCATTTGTAAATGCTCTGTACTCTCCTGCAGCTTTTTAAAATTTGGGGGGCAGATTATTTACTATTGATTTATTTCATGATTGTAGGTCTATCATGTTTTCCTACTCTTCAGTTTTAGAAAGTTACGTTTTTCTACAAAATGGCCCATTTATTGGCATACAGTTTTTCATAATATTTTATTTCCTTAGGTAACTATAGTGGTATTCTTTATTTCATTCCTAAAATTGGTTATTTGTACTGTTCCTTTTTTTCGTTTGATTCTGCAAGTTTTTTTTTTTTTTTTTTTTTTTTTTTTTTTTTTTTTTGACATGGTCTTGTTCTGTCTCCCAGGTTGGAGTGCAGTGGCACAATCACACTCACTACAGTCTCCACCTTCCAGGCTTAAGTGATTCTTCCACGTCAGCCTCTCAAGTAGCTGGGACTATAGGCACACACATTGCACCTGGCTAGTTGTTTGGGTTTTTTGTTTGTTTGTTTTTTGATTTTGTTTTTTCTTTGAGATGGAGTTTCACTCTTGTTGCCCAGGCTGGAGTGCAATGGCACAAACTCAGCTCATTGCAACCTCTGCCTCCCAGGTACACGTGATTCTCCTATCTCAGCCTCCCAAGTAGCTCAAATTACAGGCATGCGCCACCACACCCAGCTAATTTTTTTTTTTCTAGTAGAGACAGGGTTTCACCATGTTAGTCAGGCTGGTTGCAAACTCCTGACCTCAGGTGACCCACCCACCTTGGTCTCCTGAAGTGCTGGGATTACAGACATGCGCCACCGCGCCTGGCCTGTTTAGGTTTTAAAAAATAGTTTTGTAGAGACAGAGTCTCATTATGTTGACCAGGCTGGTCCTGAACTCTTGGGCAGGCAATCTTCCTGCCTTGGCCTCTCAAACAGCTGGGATTATAGGTGTGAGCCACCATGCCAGCTAGTTTGTCTTTTCAATGAAGCAGCTTTTGGATTAACAAATATTATTTATTTTTATTTAATTAATATCTTTCTAATATTTTCTTCTGCTTTCTTTGGGTTAAGCTCATCGTTTTTTAGTTTCCCTTTTTTTCCTACTACATACAATTAAGACTTGCGCATCTAAGGACACAATTAGATGTCCTACAGGTTTCTATATGTAATATCACTCAGGCCTCAGTGTTTTCTTATTTTCTAATATTCGTAATAATTTCCTCTTAATGTCACAATTTAGCACAGTTTTAATTTTGTAATGTTTTAAGAAACATTCTACTTGCCAATATCTAAGAGTCATAAGATAGTTTACTTCTCCTAGAAATAAAAATTTTAGTATTTCACATGCAAATTTCCTAGCTTAATCTTCTTTCCAGGCCGGGTGCAGTGGCTCACGCCTGTAATTCCAGCACTTTGGGAGGCTGAGGCAGGCGGATCACCTGAGGCTAGGAGTTCGAGACGAGCCTGACCAACATGGAGAAATCCCATCTCTACTAAAAATACAAAATTAGCCGGGCGTGGTGGTACATGCCTGTAATCCCAGCTATTCAGGAGGCTGAGGCAGGAGACTCGCTTGAACCCGGGAGATGGAGGTTGCAGTGAGCCAAGATCACGCCGTTGTACCCCAGCCTGGGCAACAACAGCAAAACTCCGTCTCAGAAAAAAAAAAAAAAAAAAAAAATTTCTTTCTGATTATCTTCAAATATTCTTTTTCGTTTTTGTAAATATAGGATTATTCATCAGTACTTTTCAAATAACCAATTCACTAAATTTACCAAAAATGTAGTTACTTTACAGCTATTAGTTTGCAATGTTGTATTAAGAAGGTTCAATAATTTCTACAAAATCTTAATTGTCCAGTTTTCTTTTTTTCCCCCCATAATTAACATCTTGGGGCATACTTGATTTATCTCTGGCCTAAGTCGCTGCTGGAACAAAGACAAAGATGAGAGAGTGCTCAGCAGAACCTGGACTACAAATGGGACAGAGGGGGCTCTTGGTAAAAAGCCTGAGAGACCAGAAAAAGGCTGTGCAACACAACAAGGAAACTGGAGCCCAGAGGAAAAGGCAGGAAGACTAAGGAGGGGAAAGAAGAGAGTAAGAGGGCGGGGCACAGGGGAGAGATAGGGAGAAGGCAGCCAGAGAGGGCAGAAAGAGGGGCAGGCCGAAACCGTTTGTATAAATGGATAAATGTGGTAAATTCAGTGAATTGCTCTTTCTACAGACTGACTCAGAACTGTGAAAGTTCATCTCCACGCCAGCACTGCATTTGTTTTTACCACATGCCCCAACAGTTTCAGTGCTCTACAACCAGTGTTTTCCTAATTTCTTGGCTGAAGTTGCTTAAGTGAAGGAGTTTCTCATTTCTCGGGGGAGCTTCTAAGTCAGCTAAGAAAGCAACAAACTCCTTTGCTTCCCTGTGCTGATAGGAGGATTTCTCTTAGCCCTCTTTCTATGGGGTGTAGTCCCTCTAAGACTGCCAGTTTTTTGTTTATTTGTTTGTTTGTTTTTGCCAAAATACCAGTTTCACAGCCCAAACTCTCATAGGCCCACAGTCCCTATATGCATACATGACAAATCTTACCAATCCATAATCACCATCCTAAAACCCAAGGCTAATGCAGCATCTGTTTACACCATGCTACCACGCAATGTAGGGGAAACCTAGGAACCTACCTTTCTTTATAAGAGCTCAGCTGGGCAATGAAGAAGAAAATTTGTTACATTCTTTCTGCATGTGTAGCAGGATGATTTTTAAAGTCAGTTGATTCCAACTTCTTTGGTAAATATTTTTTCCCAAAGTATTTTGTAAATCTACTCTTTACAAAAGTTCTTACTATTAGTATATAGTTAATGCTAGTAAGACCTTATCTGCCTTTTCCTCTATCTACTGCTCTTGATCTGTTAAGGCCCAAGAAATCAAGTAATCAGATAATCCAGCTACTTTCTAGGAAATCCAAAGCAAGGAATTAGTAAAAGCTTAGCTGTCGCCCCAGACATGAACTGCAAAAGTCGAACTATTCCAGCAACCTCAATACCTACTATTTTTCTATCATATGTGAATTTAACAGTATTTTCTGAAACTATACTTTCAACTCCCTCCTCTAACCCCATGCCCCAAACTTTGCAGGAAACGAATTCCATAAACATACAATCTGCCACTTAAGTAGAGTTTTGTTTCTGTTTGTCCTTATTTTGCTTTAAATTTCAAAAACTAACTAATTGAAGGCCAGAAAATCTAATGAAAATTCATCATAAAAGAACTTATACTTCTACTTTTGTACAATTTTTTCTAAATCGTTGTTTAAGTTCAGGCTTCATAAAAGGTAGAAAGGGTGGAGAGACAATTTTATATTCAGTTTTTCCCAGAGAGACTATTTTGCTTAGAGTTTTAAAACTACTTTATTTTATGGAATATACCAAGTCCTTTTGTAATACTAAATCATTTTTAACAAGAATTGTAGTAAAGCCTTACCTGATGGTCCTGAATCTTCCTGCCCACCACTCTGAATGTGTTGTTGCCTGTATGGTGATAGATATGAACTCTGCTGAACCCAGTTGAGCCACCAGCTGGCACCCACTTCTTATTGGCATCATCATAAACCATCACAGCAGCTCTTGCCTGACAGATACTCTGTTCACTGTAAAAATAAAATAAAATATTCAAACTTACAATATTAAATATGCTAAGTGTTCCACATAGCCACATAAACCTAGAAGTCAGTCAACAATCCGTGCTGTTACTGGGTGCTGGAAACAACAATGGACAAGACAGAGGCTTCCTACCTTTATGCCTAGAGTCTAATGGTGAAGACAAACCAAAAAAAAAAATAAAGTATGATTAAAAGACCAAAAGGAGAGCAGGATCCATGAAGAACACTTAGATAAGCAACACAACAAATGGTTTCTTCTAAATTTGAGTATCTAATTCATTCACTAAACTGAATACAACTATTATGTTGGTTCAAAAATAATTGCACTTTTTGCTATTTTAATGGTAAAAACTGCAATTACTTTTGCACCAACCTAATACAAGTGTAAATTAATCATCTGCTTAATTGCATACATGTTTAGTATATTGATGACCTGTCTGTGATAACACCTTCTTTACTAAGAAAATTATTTTTATTCCGGGCTTGCTTTAAAGTCTGTAACAAAAAGTCTGATAATCAACCATCTGCCCCTTGAGACATAGAGAGGCCGTTAACAACCAATGGATGGCAGTGTAACTAAATTCCTCATTCCCCTTGGGCAAGATAACATCCTATGCTTCCAATTTCTTCATTTAAAAATGAAAATGTAAAATGAGATAATTTCTAAAGACCCCACTATATTTTAAATTCTAGCCTCCACGGATAAATATTAAAGGGGAAAAGGCCAATTCTTAAACATTAGCTTCATCTATCTCAATTATTTTTTGCCAAGTGAGACTGAGATACACAAATAAATAAAACAGAGATGCCGGGCACGGTGGCTCAATGCCTGTAATCCCAGCACTTTGGGAAGTCAAGGTGGGAGAATAACCTGAGGCCAGGAGTTCAAAACCAGCCTGGACAATATATCAAGACCCCATATCTATATTTAAAATAAAATATAAAGATAATCTCAATTTGATCTTAAGCAATGGGTTCATCTTTCAAATATTCTAGGGTATTAGAATAGGTACATCAACTCTATGCTATTAACCCAATTAAAATAACTCAACCTCAATACAGACAAACCTTCTGATAACTCCTGATGACTTAACAGTCGTTAACGGAAATCCTCTGAAGCAGCTCATGCAACCATATCCTTCACAAAAGCACTGCTTATTCTACCAATTTTATCTCAAAAATTTTAAACAATAAATCATGTGGGTTCTTTCCTAAAAATTCTCAGAAACAGAAAGTCTTCCTCACACTCTCCCCTCTTACTCGTGCATCTGCCCCACCTCTTAACCCATCCAAGAGAGATAATGAAATGCAACTTTGCAGGAGATAGCGTTTTATTCTTGTCCTTGGTGACAGAAGATCACTGAAGGCCTAAAGAGGTCACAGCACCGAGTAATAAAATTGCTTCAGAACAACAGTTTTATAATTATTTGTAATTTTCCATTAGAAAAATGTTTACAAAAACTAACTTGTAACAGTATTTGTGCAGCAAACCCACGGTAATGTCTAAATTTTTATGCTGCACTGACATTTTTGGTAAAATACTTATGGGAATAAAAACAAGCCAATGACTAAAACTTGAATTATTTTTAAAAGATGGATTAAAGGGCATTTGTCAGTAGCAGTTGAAAAATCTCTCCCATCATTCACAACAGAAATATTTTTTATGTGATGACATTTACATAATCCTATGGAAAGATTACATGAAACAAGCTAAGGCAAAGTGCATCTTATACCTTACAATTCAAGCAACAAATTTACTGCTAAATGTAAATAACAATTCAATAAACAAATCTAGAATAATACAGGATAGTATTTTCCAGTTTTCAAATAATATTTTTGCAGTTACATTGTTTCCAAGATTCCCAAGATTCCCAAGAAATAATGTCTTGGGGTGTGGGGGCTGGGGAGGGACAGCATTAGGAGAAATACCTAATGTAAATGACGAGCTGATGGGTGCAGCAAACCAACATGGCACATGTATACTTATGTAACAAACCTGCACGTTGTGCACATGTACCCTAGAACTTAAAGTTTAATAATTAAAAAAAGTAAAATAAAATAATGTCTCTTTAAGAAGTGTCATTAAGATCACATAAGCTAAAGGAATACCTCGTTTTGTAAGTAGGTCACTTCATGCTTCAAAAAACATTTTTAAGTATAAGAAATCTAAAACAAGAAAAGTTAGCTTTAATGGCCCAAAGTTTTCCTCTACTTTTTTTCTCCAAATGAACCTATCCAAGTAGCAAAGAAAATTAAAAAACTGCAAAAAAGTAATTGGTTTTCTGATGAAGATGAAAAGAAGTCTTCAAAATGAAATGTTAAACATTTCCAATTCTGAACAAAGCTGAGAATAAGAGAAGAAAAAATAAGCTATGGGTAAGAGCCGAGGTGTTACTGGAGAGGTAGTAATAGCCATGTGGGTATGTGGCACACTGTGAAGGGATTGGCTAAACCCAAATAACTGTGTAGTCCTAGAAGATATCAGGCACTGGCGGGGCACAGTGGCTCACACCTGTAATCCCAGCACTCCGGGAGGCCAAGGCAGGTGGATCACCTGAGTTCAGGAATTTGAGACCAGCCTGGCCAAGATGGGGAAACCCCGTCTCTACTAAAAATACAAAAATTAGCTGGGTGTGGTGGCAGGCACCTGTAATCCCAGTTACTTGGGAGGCTGAAGCAGGAGAATCATGATCACACCACTGCACTCTAGCCTGGGCAACAGAGCAAGCCTCCATTTAAAAAAAAAAGACATTAGGCACTCAGAGAAGCCACATCAAGGCCCAGCCAGGAAGAGATGGCACTGCCTGCTGGGGTTTAGTGACAAATGCAACTCAGTCCTCTTATTCCTTTCCACAACATCTGAGGACCTCTTCTCACTAGAGACATCCTGTCGTGTAATAAAAATACAGCTGACCATTGAACAACATGGGAACTGCACAGGTCCACTTATACACAGACTTTTTTTTCCAGTGTGTTTTTCAGTATTTTTTCCAGTGTTACACTTCCTGCTCCTCCTCAGCCTGCTCAACATGAAGACAAGGATGAAGATCTCTATAATGATTCATGTCCACCTCATGAAAAGTAAATATATTGTCTCCTTCTTGTGATTTTTTAATCTTTTTTTAAATAACATGTTCTTTTCTCTAGATTACTAGAGAAAAGTAATCTAGAGATTACTTTACAGGCTCACGCCTGTAATCCTAGCACTTTGGGAGGCCGAGGCGGGCAGATCACCTGAAGTGAGGAGTTGGAGACCAGCCTGACCAACATGGAGAAACTCCGTCTCTACTAAAAATGCAAAAAAAAAATTAGTCAGGTGTGGTGGCAGGAGCCTGTAACCCCAGCTACTCGGGAGGCTGAGGCAGGAGAATCGCTTGAACCTGGGAGGCAGAGGTTACGGTGAGCTAAGATCACGCCATTGCACTTCAGCCTAGGCAACAAGAGTGAAACTCTGTCTCAAAAAGAATATGGTATAAAACACATATAACATAACAAAATATGTGTTGATCAACTGTTTATGCATATCTATAAAGCTTCTACTCAACAGTAAGCTATTGGTAGTTAAGTTTTTGAGGATTCAAAAGTTGCACTTGGGCCGGGCACAGTGGCTCATGCCTGTAATCCCAGCACTTTGGGAGGCCAAGGCGGGCAGATCATTTGAAGTCAGGAGACCAGCCTGGCCAACATGGTGAAACTGCATCTCTACTAAAAATACAAAAATTAGCCTGGCATGGTGGCATGAACCTGTGGTCCCAGCTACTCGGGTGGCTGAAGCATAAGAATCGCTTGAACCTGGGAGGAGGAGGTTGCAATGAGCCAAGATAGCGCTGCTAAACTCCAGCCTGGGTGACAGAGTGAGACTCTGTCTCAAAAAAAAAAAAAAAAAAGTTGCACTTGGGTGCCATAGTCCCTAACCTCCTCCACCCCTCTACTCGCCTTTTTTAACTTTTACAGTTCAAAGGTCAACTGTATTTGGTCTGGGGTCCTCAGTTCCTAGTACAAGGCTCCTTAAAGTGTCTTTGGTATACTAATGAGATGATTCTTGGCTGAGGGGCTTCTAGGTGGCCTCAGATGGGGCCAAGTAGCCAGAAATATCATGGCATGATTGGAAAGCTGGAACTCAGGCCCACACTTTCCACCCCATTACCTCCCTCTGCCAACAACTGGGGAAGGGAGACGGACTAGAGATGGAGTTCAATCACAATGGACAATGATTTCATCGATCATGTCTATGTAATGAAACTTCCATAAAAACCCTCAATGACAGGGTCAGAGGGCTTCCGGGTTGATCAACATATGAAGGTGCTGTGAGAGTCACACTTGGAAAGGGTAGGAAAAGACTCAACCCCCACACCCTCACACCTTGCCCTATGCCTCTCTTCCACTTGGCTATTCCTAAATTATATCCTTTATAATAAATGGTAATAGTGAAGTGCTTTCCTGAGTTCTGGGAATCATTCTAGCAAATTACCAAATGTGGGTTGGGTGGTTTCAGGAACCTCAGTATTTGCAGTTGGCTAAGCAGATGTGGGTAGCCTGGGCACTCCATTTGCAGCTGGTATCTGAAGCAGGAGCAGCCTTATGGAACTAAGCCCTTAACCTGTGGGGTCTATGTTAACTCTGCATAGTGTCAGAGTGAACTGAATTGTTGGACACCCAGCTGGTGAAGGAGAAGAGACTGCTGAAGTAAGGAAAAAAGCCACTCACATACTAACTCCGATTATAGGTGTGATGCACAAAATAAATTAGCGGTAAGCAGTTTTAGACTTCATGGAGCCATGAACATCAAAAGCAGAGTAGATAAATCAATACAGAACTGGCTGCCAATATTTTGCCCTACTTGCCAGGTATGCGATGGGGCAGTGGTGGGGACCAACATAACTTATTTAAAATGATATTTTTGGAATCTAAAAATAGGAATATTTGAAAACAAAGACAAATCATTAAATGCAATAACATGAGCTTTCTAGACAATTCCCTCTATTATC